TCTTTTTTCTTTTCCTTTTTAATTTAATAGTATATAAAATGAAAAGAGGAGGAACTTATCTTTTTATTGTTTTATCTGAGATCTTCTTGGAATGTGGGAGGAGTTTCCCCCATCTTCCTTGGAACGTGGGAGAGAGTCTTCCATCTTTTTCTCTTGTTTTTTTTTTGTCTTTTTCTTCTTATCATTTTCTCCTTTTATCTTGTGAGATATTTTTACTTAACGTCTTAGCACTTTTTTCTTTTTTTTTTCTCTTTTCTCTTATCTTGTCACAACTTGTTTTCTTCATCAACCCTCTTTTTTATTTTTATTTTGCCTTTTTTTTTTCCTCCATCTTTTGTATTTCTCCAACCTGGAAGGCTTTTTCGTCTTGTTAGCAGCATGCTCAACGCTCACCGTATCTTTTGGAATATTGACTCCAATTCATTTTGGATCATGATCAAGGAATAGAGCCGGATTCCATAGGAATAAGAAAGAGAGGGAGAGAAAGAAAGACTTTTGCGTCTTCCGGGGGAAAAAGAGGGGTGTTCCCCAGGCTTGTCGACTTCTTTTATTCCACACAGGAGGTTACAACGTAAGGAGAGAAGGGGAGCAAACTCCCTGCATGAGGATGAGAGGGAGAACCTAAGGACCCCTCTTTTCACAAGCAAGTGATCCTCTATTTATGGAGAAAGATAAAAGGGGAAAATGGATATTATATTTACGCCCATGCCTTTTAGAGAGTAGAGAGGGGTATTCCAGTCTTTCCTTGCTTGTCCTCTTGGACTTTTTCACCATTGGACTTGTCGACGTCGTGTGGTCGACCTAAGTGGTCCTTAGTGGTCGACCAGGAGGTGGTAGCCCATGGTTGCCAGCGAGCTGGGCATAAGGGACCGACCCATTGTGGCTAGTTGAATGGTGATGGCTGGCCCAAGTGGCCGTCCAACAGCATGTAGGCGGCAGACCCATGTTTGGCTATTCAATTGGTGTTGGCTGGCCTAGGCGGGTGACTGATAGGAGAAAGGTAGCCGACCCGTGTTGGTCGTTCAACTGGAGCTGGCCAGCCGAAGTGGCCGGTCGGTAAGAGGAGAGTAGCCGACCAGGGTGGCTGGCTCTACAATTGCATGTCTGTCTGTTCGTCTCATGCGGCTTATCCTTCTGCTTGACGAGGGTTTGTCTTTAGGCTATACATACATGAATGTTGTTCTTTATTCTTTTTTTTTTCACTTGTTTTCGTGCATGCATTTTGTTTCTCTATTTTTTTTTCTGATTAAGTTTACCCACTTTATTCCTTCATTTATATCCCAATAATTGCTTCAAAATCTTAAATATATATATATATCATCTTCAATGCATTCATGAGACAAAAAATAGAAGGTACTTTGATTTTCAAGTTTTTTTTCCAAAATACATAGGTTTGCAGAGACAACCTTTTGATTTATATTGATCATTGTGATTTGTTTCTTTTTTTTTCTCTCAATTTATTTATGATATTAATGATTTTTTTTTCCATTTATTTCCAAGTAAAACAATTAATATGAGGATTTGACCGAGAATGGTAATGAAATGTTATTTTCAAATGATTTTTTTTTGTGTTTATCGTGCTTAAATTTCATCTTGATTTTTAACCTGTATATAAATGTTTTGACTGCCACTGAACTAAATATTCTGTCAAATTTGATATACTTTGCCTTATATTTTTTGTATTTTTAAGAATGTTCAAACCATTTAAGGTTAAAATATTCTAATAATTCTCTCCCTTTGTTCTTTTTCTCAAATCTCTTTTTTAATATTTCTCCAATTAAAGTGTGTTATGGTATGACTCATATACCATATAGGGACAGACGTTGGATTGAAGCGGAGCGGAGCGGAAGAATCTGTCCAAATTGGGAAGTTACGTGGGTTGGGGTGCGGGGGCAAAACCCCGCGGTATGGTACATGGGTAATGTTGTAATTACATATTGTGCTTAGGGTTTACTCCTGAGATTATAAATAGGTCTGTTAGTAACCCCAGGAGGAATCTCTCTATTCTGTAACATCTTTTCTGAATATTGAAAGAAACTCGACGCTCTGCTCCCGATGACGTAGGCATCTTTGCCGAACCTCGTTAAATCTTTGTGTTCTTCTAGATTTGTGTCGATTACTGTTTTTCTTCGCCCTAATTTTCTCAACAAAGTGAAAATTAACTAACCTCATAATCATTATCATCTTCTATAATATAATCTTTGAAAGCTGTATATATATATAATTAGGCTAGCTAAACAAATTTGGGAAAAAAATAAGACTTTCATACACAATCACATAATATAAATAAATAAAACTAAAAGCAAAGCCATTTGATTCTCGTCTATTTTAGATACTTATCATTTGTGTTAACATATGATAAATATAAATAATTATACTTTCACACAGTGTGATGAAAAACATTTTCGTGACAATGAACCCAGAGATGGTAGATGTAACAACTCGCCATGATATGGGAGTGACAGATCAAGCAAACACGGGAACAACGGACTTATCAGATGTTATGGAAGTGACGATCTTCACCTTCTTACAAGAAGGGAAGTTTTAAGTTGCCAACCACGCAGAGCTATTTAGCTAAAATGTCATTGGAGTACATCTGAATTGAGTGTCGAGAACTAGCTACGTAATTTAGCAGCTAAACTATCTCTTGCACGGATGTGGTTCTCCTCCATTCTTTTTCCTCACATGCTTCAGTGCATGAATTCTGCTTCTCTTATATTTCTCTATTTTTTTTTCCGATTAATACATCCCGTTTTTTTCCTTCTCTTATGTCCTAATAATGGCTTGCCATTTTTGTATGTAGGACAAGAGTAAGGTTGAGCAATAAGAGCATGATATATGGAGAAGGCTGCAATTTATAGAAGCAAGAAGAAGTGTAGTCCTATTGATTTAATTTAAGGAGTGTGGTCCCTTTTGATTTAATTTATTAATCTCATCATTTATTTATTAGGACCTAACCGGATCAAAGTAAATTTGATCTTTTGGCATGAGAACCAGCTTGATTAATGAGGTGAGTTTATTATGTATGAAATCATTTATGCCTTTGATTCTTTGCAAAATAGCTTAAAAATAATAACTAATAAGCTTGTGTTGGAGAGAGACTAGATGTTGTAATACATGTAATTAATGACTAGGGGATTTAAAATGCCTTTCTTATATTTTAAGAAGATGTTAAGGGAACATTCTTCATATGTGAAACAATTAATTGAAGTGTTATTCTTTGGGGCCTACTACTAAGATTGTTTAGTAGAATCTTCAATTTTTTTAAGAAATTTTTTAGTAAATTGTTTACATAAATTTTGGTTCGTTGTAATTAGAAACATAGATGAAAAAAAAATAGTGATATGAGAGAGATATAGTTCGCATTTTTTTATTTTTGTAAATAATATGTGATACTTTTTCTTAGGTTATGTTGATCAGATTTATGAATATTTATATATTATTAGCAAATTTTTTCATTATCCCACATATTATTGCAAATAATCCATCAAACATACATAACACTTTATAAACAATTAGTAAACATTTGAAAATAAAAAAAAATAATTTTGAGATCAAATGATATTTTATTATTATAAATTTGCAGTAAAAAAAGATTGTCTTAACTCAATAACTTTGAGAAACAAAAGATGCCCAAAGTTAAGTGTTTTTGGAACTTCAATTGTCACATGCAAAGGCATACATGTACATGGCAGTCGATGATCAAACGGGTCAATGGGTCGATTAACTACCTCCCAAATTTTTTCCACCATTTGCTATGTTCACCTTTATTAACACTAAGATGTAGTGGATTTTGTATATTTTTTTATTCTCGATATACTTTTTAAAGTTCCTTGGATCTCTATATGTGACTTATGATGAATTATTTATATTATTAGGATTTTCTTGTTAAATGAAGTGTTTAGCCTAAAAACATTGACATTCTATTCTCTTTTACTACACTAAATTCTCCATGACTTCCCAAAAATCATTGTTATTTTTATAGATTTTAATTTTTTGAGCTATTTGAGATATTGTAAACAATTTGATAATAAGATCATAACATATTTTCATTATTTTTTGCTGAGCATAAAGGTGGTTCTTGTACTTCTTGGATTACTTTGATTGAACACAATCTATTCAAGAACTCATCATATTTAATTTACTATATCTACACATACTAGTTAGTAGCTTATAATGAAATCAAGAATATTATAAATAACTAACCTAACATCTAAGCCATTTGATAATTTATCCATATCTTAGATGGGTTTTAGTTATTATGAGTTACATGATGAGCTAATTATAACAAAATTATCATTTGTTGCTTAATCTTAACCATTGTCAATTATATGGCAATCTCTAGCCCATTTTATGCTCTTATATATAAAATGATATATGAGAGTTTTCTTGTTTCATGTAGCTGAAAAAACTCACAAGCCATCAAATGCTTTTAAATTTTAACTATTCATGCACACACCGAAAAGATTTATGCCTTGACCGCAAATTCTTATAGCCAGAGAGAAAACACCAAACCATTAGCTAAATGAGCTACAATCCAAGCTGACAAATATTGAACTTTTTTGAAAAATTAGCTTGATTTTGTTTATCTTGAATGTCCACATTATGAATGTATCTCAACTAATTATCATTTGGTAATTTTTGGGCTATCTTTTTCTTAATAGAATTGGATAATTATGGTATGTCCCAACATAATGATTGTCATCAAATTCACTCAATCTCTTTTAAATTTCTATGATGGAATACAATAGGATAATTATGCTTTATTATTTTTAAGCAAATAATATTATTCATATAAATAAGAAAATAATATTAATCATATAAATAAGTTAATAACAAGTAGATTAAGCTTTATTTATGATAATAATGATTCATTATTTGTCTTAACCAATCGATAAGGGGATTCAAATTAGCGGATAAACATACACGTGCCTGATTTGGGCCGGACCATACATATATAACCGTCCCATATACCACACGTAACTGTCCATCCTCTTCTAAAAAAATCATCTTTTTAACACAGGTCCTGCATCCCTTCAGTTTTCTCCGCCATGGAAACCCCCACGCCGCCCACCTCCTCCGGCGACCCTACCTCAACTCCACCACCGCATCCCACAACGTACGTCCAAGCCGACGCCGCCACTTTCAAGGAACTCGTCCAACGCCTCACCGGACCTCACGACGACCCTTCCTCCTCCTCCCCCATCCCCAAGCTCTCCGGCGTCCGTCGTCCTGCCTTCAAACTCCACGAACGCCGGCAAGCCTACCGTTCCAAATTCGCCGTGCTGAAGCCCCTTATCAGCCCCCGGCCTCCCGCGGCCGATCTCGGGTTCTCCTCCCCCGGCCGCGTTAGCCCGCTCGTCTCGCCGTCCACGCAATTGTCTGTTCTTTCCATATCTGAGGGATGTGTTTTGCCGCCGCCGCCAGTGGAAGCGAAGACAATGGTGGCGGGAGAGCGGCGACAGCGACGACAACACCGGAGCTGAACGAGGAGGAAGAGGAGAAGGCGATTAGAGAGAGGAGGTTTTATCTACATCCGTCGCCTCGGTCTGGATTGAGAAGCGCTGAACCGGAGCTGCTGGCGTTATTCCCACTTACGTCGCCAAGGGCAGAGTGATCATGTGCCTAATAACAGAGTGTCACGTGACAATTCGGGCAAGAGTGACGACGTGCGAGGAAGATGTTTGGTTAGGTTATTAGGTATTATGATGATTTATTCATTAATGATGAAGATACCAAAAATTTATTCATTAACATCATTCAGCATAAAAGATAAGTATATTTAATCTATTATTTAATTTAATTTTTTATATTTATTTGTTGATCATTGTTAATTTATAGGATGATTAAAGTGTTATTAATATTTTCTAGTGATTGGGCTGGCAAAATTTAATTTTGTTGGTGTTGTATATAATTAATTGGTTTGTATTGTTATGTTGTTTTGTAATGTTTGGCAGCAATGTTTGATAAATGATTCAGAAATAAAAGTAGTTGGATTATTTACTATAAGTGGAATTCAATTGAAAACTTCGTGGGAAAATAAGACAATATATGATAACACTTAAATTTTGAACGGCATGTTGATAGAAAATCAAAAGTTAAATTTTATTTACAATATGTTTCCTTTTCTAAATTTATGTATGTTTCGAGATATTCCTTAAGTTAAAGGCCATAAATTGGAGAAAATATTCCATACGAATAAGAGATGCATGTGCTGTCCGATCTCGGCTATCGATCACAATTTTTTTGTTTTGTTTTTTTTTTAATAAAATGAGGCCCACCGAAGTACGGTTTTGTTGTGATCGACGGTAGAGATCGAACAACACATGCATCTCTGCATGCACCGTCCGCATGTAATAATTTTTCCATAAACTGATGAAGTTTTGGACGAACACCAATTTCTTATTATGTCTGAGAACCTCTTCAAAGAAATGAGGTCCACTCTCACACAATTCATTAAAATGAAGGAGAGTTATATTAATCATTTTTGGAAAATTAAAACATAAAAAAGAATAAACACTATGACATATAAATGTTTAAAACTTATAAAAAGAAGACAAAAATAGCTGCTAGAAAAAAGAGACACCAAAATGGAATAATCAAAATTAAACTCGATAAAATCTTTGACATATTGTAAATTGTTATTTTGACCCCCAATTAATGAACTAAAGTAAAAGGGCACTTTTGTAATGTGGTACCGCTCACCTACCACATCTCACCTACCGTTCACCTACCTCTCACCTACCGCTCACCTACCTCCCACCTACCACTCTCTTGCTTCTATAAATAGAGAGGGTGTGAGGCTTAGGAGAGCAAGAGAAGAAATCTTAAGGGTGTGAGGCTTAGGAGAGGTAAGGGGAGAAGAAATCTTAAGCTACCACAAAGGAGGAGAGAATAGCTAGAGAGCTAAAGAGGAGGAGAGCATCTTGAGGCCTTGTATCAAGGTGTCGCTTGAGAGGGAGGCCATAGAAGGAAGATGAGGGCTCATCTCTATGTATAAGCTATGTATTCTCCATTTCTTTTGCCTTAGTGAAATATTTGATTGATTCCCTCCTGTGGACGTAGATCCAGTTGGA